AATAATATATTTAATAATATAATATTTAATATACTACTACTAATAATAATAATAATAATAATGTGTATTCAAAACCTGTTTCCCATGCCATATACTATAGTGCGTATTGCAACATCAAGATTGATATTTATAAATGAATTTATATTTCAGATTTTTTTGTCTAATTATTCAAAGTGTCACTGTAGAAGCCCCCTGCCCTTCTGCTGTGTCTTCCCCGTGTTCGGTGGTCTTTAATCTTAATTATAAAGCTATCATTACCACATGAACCCGAGGCTGCGGCCGTCCACGCTCAGAATCAATCACGCGATTGGTCTGTTCTGCTGCAGAGCTCCTCTCCCCTCGTTCCCCACTAGAGCTTTTTCATTTATTCTCTTTTCAATTTTCATAATTGCTGTTGTCCTCACACTTGCTAAGAGCACAGCCCATTGCCCTCACTGCTGAAGTTCAGCATTTTGGATATTGAATATTGGTTTCACATACTTCATTGCATCGATCGGATTGGATTTTGCGAGAATAAAAGGATGCGTCCCCTCTGATTTAGGAAGATAAAGTGCTTTTCTTGCAAATACGCCTTGACCAATGAGTCTCTCATTCTGCTGTGTCAGTTGATGCATGATTTATGAGAGTTTGGGTTTGTCGCGGGACTGAGGTTCACTAGAACGGTACATTTTGATAAAGGAGTTTGTGTCTCGTAACAAATTTTAAAAAGAAAAAGTACTGTGCCGGGCCAGAAATCAACAGAAAGCTATTTATCCAGTTATTATGCCGTTTCTTATGTGTACTAGTTATTCTCCGACAGGCTGTTGGCAACCGCTGATGAAATATCCTAACATGTAGAGTAGAGATCCTAACAGGACTTTCACACTCTATTAGATGTGAGAAAGCGTTAGATGAAAAACAGGATTAAAGCTCGGCAAATGCTCATCGTGCAGCTGAATTCTCAATAATCCAAGATGCTCGAGCAGAGCTCTCCAGGTCTGTGATTGGGATATGCGAGGCTGCCACAAGGACTAATTTCTCGAAAGCCTGCTTGCTAACCGAGGCGGTGAAATTTAGGAGCAGTGAAGATGTCAGGACTGCATTAGACCGCCTGATCAAAGGCCTCAAGCAGGCCTCCCTCTGCAGGTCCTTTCATGAATCCGGTAACTCTGCCAACAGACTTGTTTTAGCGTTAAGGCAGCTTTATGTTTGAATTTTATGTGCCAATTAATTAGGTGCTTTCTAATATACGTCGAGAGAACTGTAAACTATTTAGAGAGGGGTAAGGAGAGAGCGATCTGTGCTAAAGTTCTTTTGATTTATAACGGTCAGTGTTCACATTCAGTAAGCAGAAGAGACAGCTGAGAGTGCACGGCCGCCACTCCGGCCCGCTCTGAACCAGGAAGAAGGATTTAAATGTCTTCCCTTGAAGTCTAAATATTTAATTTCTTAATAGACGACATTGCAGCCAACATTAATTTTGAAGGAACAGTGAGGACATTAATGAGGCTAACACAGAGTGGCATGTCTTGTGACATTCATTTGATAAAAAGGTGAGGCTCTTTTTTCTTCATCTTCATGCACTTTCACCCCTTTTAGAAAGCAGGCGGTAAAAGGCATCGCCGTCATTGATCTGTCTTCCCTACCACCCCAATTATTAAATTAAATGCAGAAATTCACACTGCGTGTAATTACTTTCACTCGACATTATCATTCTGTCACATTTGCCACATACAAGTCTGCATCTTAGCAGTAAATATCTTTTGTTTCTAATAGTCTAAAGAGTGATTTATATGTGGCCTCAAAAAAATGAAAATCGGCATGATTATTATAGGTGACGCTGAATGCTCAAACCCACTGCTTGCTAGATTGACACTCAAGTTTGTGACTATATACGATTCTAGCGCAAATAACCAGGAAAACATCACCTCAGATGGTGTGAGTGGGATTTGATTCCTAATATGGCACAACACCTTCACCTCAATCAATTTCTCATACCCACTTGATGAGAAATAGTCAGAGAAATTATGTTGTTTAATAAGATCTAGAAAGATAAAATAGAAAAAAGGTGCCACCATACCCAGTGGGATTTGTTTATAAGACAGACATTTATTATTTTGAGTTTAAGAACAGTTTTCTGTAAAAGCCTGTTTTTGCCTCAGAGCAAAAAATGAAAAAGGTAATGGTGGATAAATTTAAAATAAGAAATAAAGACACAATGTGAGAAATGAAGTTGCACTGTAAGATATATTTAATGTTACAGTTATGGAAAATAAAGTTGCATTGTGGGATATAAAGTTAAACTGTGAGATAAAGGTACAACAGGGAGATATAAAGACAAAATTACAAGAAATAACAAAATTGTGTCATATATATTGCAAAATGAGTCTGTCATGTGAGTTATGTAGTCAGAAAAATAAAAAAAATGTTGCAAATATGAGAAATAAAGTTGCATTTACAAAACAAAATGTTAGACTGCAAGATTTATAGTCACATTGTGAGATATAAAATAACAACAGGGAGATATAAAGTCATAATTGTGAGATATACTGTAAAGTTACACCATGTGACCTCTGTGAGGTCACAATTAAAAAAAAAATAAAGTTGGACTTGTGAAATATAAAGTCACATGGTGTGATATAAAGTTGCAAAAAAGAAATAAAGTCAGAGAAATAAAGCTTCAATTACATTCACTCATTTAGTTTCTTTAAGGTGTAAATAGGTTTCCATAGATTTGGGAGCTCATGAAGGACAGATACACAGACTTGATCAAATCATTTATACTAAAAACACATTTTTGACCTACACCAATATAGGCCCTCTGTACTTGACTTCTGAATTAATGTGCACAACTGCAAACTATGATTCAACACCTGAATGTCTATTCTCAACTTTTATCTACAGCACATATTTCCTTTTGAAGTCTTTGCCTAAGAAGATAAATGAATCAGAGTAGATCTATAATGCTTATCCCTGTCTGCATGGTTTATTCCTTTAAAATATTAATCCCACATGAAGGAAGCTGTCATTTTTATAAAAGATGGCAGGATAGCAATGCAATCTCCCATTACCATTTTTTTGAAGGTAAAGAATATCTTAAACCGCAAATGCAACATACCGTCTTAAGACTGAATGAGAGAGTACAGTCTCTCGAGAGGGAATCAGAGGTGTCGACTAAGCTGGAAACTCTGTCAAGTACATGGGTCAATTGTTAAGCACACAAAACCCCAGGACAAGCAGGCCTTCCCTTTGTCCCTGTAGGGTAGAAATTCAAAGCCTGGCATTAGCGTGCTGGAAAGAGAGCTATAATACTCTTTAAAATATGTAAAGAAGCACATGATTACGTTCATACTTAATGTGAGCTAGTATCAATCCGTGAAAGCTAGAAGAGGCCTCGGATATTTATGCTGTTCAGAAGCTTTTTTATTTAGTCCTTCCTCCATTCCTGACACACTTCAGTTAGAATAGAATGAGCCTCTGCTACTTTTTAGAGTCCAACATCCTCTTAGTGTGAATAAACTACAGTCATTTTCCATTGTAACACATACTTTTGGATAGCACAGAAACATACTTTAAGAGTCAAATTTGTTATTAATCATATATGTATTAATATTAAAATACTATCAGAGATCAAATCAATGCTCGTTCTTGTCCATGTATTAGGACAGACTTCCAAATCACTCACAATGGCATCACATATAAAATACTTAGTAAAAAAAGGTTATGAAATTAACATTATGAGATTAAATAAATGGAAAATTGGTGCAGCATTAGCTAAAGTGGTTATTTTAAATAATATTGTACTTAAATGTTATGTAAAGATAAAAAAATATGACGTATTTTGCTAAATAATTTTTGCCCCACTTTGCATGATTTCCAAATAAATTCCTTTTATCATTCCTTTTAGCACATATTATGTAAGTATACGTGTATTCATTAAAAATTCATAAAAAAACATTTTGGAGACATTTTGCAGGCAGTTATCCATTTTAAATAATGTATTGATGTGTGAGGCACAGCTCACACAGACGTCACTTTTAAATAGAGGTGTAATTGAGTAAATGTAACTAATTACTGTACTTGAGTATCATTTTGGATACTTTGTAGTTTTACTGAGTATCAAAGATATTAGCAACTTTTACACTCTACTTCACTACATTTTTTTATGAATATCTGTACTCTTTACTCCATTACATTTGAAATGAGTGTTGCAGTTACACATTACATTTTGCATGGACCTAGTTTTTACTGCAGCAGTTTATTTCTGCTACAAAATATGTGATATTGCCTACTACAGGGTCCTAGATCTTATGAGTTTTGTCCTTACTTACCCACACTTTTCAACAAGGCTACTTTATGTGAATGTGAGTTCCTTAGCAAGTAGTTGTGAATCACAGGTGTTTTATATGTAAGATGAGGACATGACTGCAGCCGGCAATGAGGCCCAAACCAGCACATCCACTGCAAGAAGGCTTTGACTTTTTAATTTTACTTAACATTATTTTATCTATCCTTTTTGAAGGATATTGTTGTTGGTGTTGCTGTGCTCAGTTTTATTTTGGTTTTAGAAAATAAACATAATTGTTCTCCTCACAAATCAACTCTTTCTTGCTTTTGTTACGTTTTCTGTGCCTTGTCTTGGACTTGGTGTTTGTAGTCAATTTGTAGTCCATTTGATCATTGGTTCCCCTTGATTAGTCTCCCCAGGTGTGTCTTGTTAAGCTTGTCAGCCCCCTGTGTATATATAGCCATAGTGTTTCTTTAGTTTCTTGTGAGTTGTTGAATGTAATGATTGTTCTGTTTTTTGTTTCCTGTGGTTTTTGGCTTATTGTTTGTTATAGTTACTCTATCCTTGCCTCTGCCTGTTTACCCCAGCTTCTCAACAACGTTATAGTTTTTTCCCTATCATGTCTCTTTGACTAGTGCATTTTTTAGCCTATATTTATTATAAGTAAAATACTCAAGTACTGTTAAAAACAGATACTCTGAGACTTTTACTCAAGTTGTTTTGGAATTGGTGACTTGAAACTTGTAGTGGAGTAATTTTCACCATATGGTATCTGTACTTTTACTCAAGTATGGTTTTCACGTACTCTTTACACCTCAGCTTTTAAACCAAACAGCTTACTGTTTGGTCAGCACAGCAAATTTGTATAACCAACCAATGCAAAATTGGCATAGGCAAATCATTCGCCATCACACAGAATTTCCATTCCAGTGGATTCCAGTTGAAATTACTGGATTTTGCCCGTGTATATTTGCATAACAGAAAATCTGACCACACCTAAAAATTGTTGAATAAATTTGTTGTTTTTGTTTTCTTTGCACACAAAAAGTATTCTCGTAGCTTCATAAAATTAAGGTTGAACTACTGATGTCACATGGACTATTTTAATGATGTCCTTACTACCTTTCTCGGCCTTGAACGTGTCAGTTGTGTTGCTGCCTATGCAGTGTCAGAAAGCTTTCGGATTACATCAAATATATCTTAATGTGTGTTCTAAATATGTACAAAGGTTTTACGGGTTTGGAATGACATGAGGGTGAATAATTAACAGCATTTTCATTTTTGGGTGAACTATCCCTTTAAGGTTGGGTTTTAGGCCTGTTGCACCCTAGTGCGATGTCATTGTGTGCTATGTGGTTTAATTCTAGGGAAACTGCACCAGTTCACAGCTGATGATGTTTTTTGGGGGAGTTCTGAAACATCTAGAGCAGTGGATCTCAGCCATGCTCTTGAAGCACCTCCTCCTTAATCAACATTTTTAATCAAATTTAATCTGAATGTGTAATAGCTATAGGAGCACTGAAAAAGTCAAGACAACGATGAAGGTGGTCATCATTTTATCATGATCTGCACTGACTGAAGACCCTCTTACCTTTGTGCTCATCAGCTCTTATGGCTGAAATAGGAACTTCAAAGGAGAGATACATAATGAATCTTTATATATTTGATAAAAGGTACCAGCCGATTTGCTTATCACCATTTGCCGCCTTTTAGGTTTTTATGGACATCTTTGTTGACTTGGGAAACAATGTTTAATACATACATCACTCTAAAGAGGAGTAGGGCTAATGCTAGCTGACCTCTTCAGGGGGGTTGTCTTGTTTTGTTGCCTTTCTTGGTCCATTTTGGCTGTGCAAGAAATGAGGTCTTTATGTACAAAGAGAAAGAGGCTAAAAGCTTTCAGAGAGGTATAAACATGCTGAATCTCATTTCGTGTGTTCCAGAGAAACACAACTTTCCTAGATCTTTTCCTCATTCAATTTTCCTCACTAACAGGCATTGCAAAACCAGTGCTGGTATGTAACTGTTAATTTATCCTTTTAGTGTATGATATCCTGTCATCTCCTCATTTGTCTTTGAGTGTTTCTAATCGGCGATAATCCTGGTCAAATCCTTTGATTGTGAGTTTGGATGTGATCCATCTCTAAAGAAGCGATTTAATGGGCTTCATGGCACTTGGCGTTAAGTCATTTATCTAGCGGAATTACTGGATATGCTTGTTTTAATAAGAGTGCACTTCATGAAAACCAAGGAGACTCGCCATTTAATTATCCAAAGGGAAGGCCGTTCTCAACCCTCGATCAAGCAAATTGCTGCGGGAAGGAGGAATTTTCCTCAAACTCACTCTTCCTTCACCTTCTTTGGAAGCCATCTCTTCTTGGATAAAGTCCACCCCATACATCTTCAGTGCCTCACTCTTTTGCATTTTGAAAGCTTCACAACAGGCTGGATTAGTTATTCTTACATCACTGGAGAATGATTATGTAAGCGAAGCAGTTTAGGCGTTGGCAGTGGCTTTGTGTTGCAAGCCTGCAGAGATTCCACAGATGGTAAAGAAAACTAATGGGCACAGAAACACTGCCTCCATTTTCTCTCTCGGTCTGTTGTTTGAGCAATTCTGAAGTTATTTCTCCAAGGGAACAGGAATCAGTGTGTTTAAACATAAAAATGACAAATTATTTTATGACAGAATAATCTTCTCTTACACTTGCAGGAAAAATGCTTACACAGATTTGACTTGAAACGTTTTGGACATCATAACTGCCATTGCTTTGTACTCAAATTCACTTAAAATAAACAGAAAAGAGTTTTATTGGCTAAACCAATGCATTAGCTAATGTAGTTCATGGTAATGTAGTTCTTTCTGTCTTCAGAGCAAATTTTTAACTAAGGTTTAAGCACCACTCTGACCCCTGTTATTTGAAGCAGGTTAGGACAGGGAAAGTGGACTTGGATAGATTTGCTTCACAATTTCTATGACATTGTATAATGTTGAATATCAAAGTTTTTTTTTTTTGTATGTTTGTTAATGAGGGATTTGTAAAGTAAAAATGATCATTTTAATTAAAAGTGTTATTTTTTAATTTCATATTTATTGCAATTTTATGAATTAGATGTAGATTAAAACAAAAAACAAAAAAACATTGCTTTTCCTTTAAACTAGAGGGAAATTGAGTGAAATCCTTCCAAATGAATAATTGGTGTTGCTATTATGACAAATATTCCAATAAAATATGAGCAATTAAATATGTAAATATTTGCATGCCTGTATGTAAGTCACGGCATACATTTATCTTTCAGACAAATCTCTTTTACTGGTGTTCCCTTTCAGTCGGTCACTCTCGACGTCACGTCGGAGGACCGACAAATTGGGATCTTGCTTAGAGGGACCAATCTACTTTGAGTGTAAACTAAACGAGCCAATGCACATTGGCATGCGATTATTGCATCCAGCTGCTGCTGATCACAGCGTGAGTATAAGTAGGCAGCAGATGCAGCGCATATTCAGCTTTTCGCTTCGGAGCCGAGCGATCACATCGTTCTGCTCCTGACTACTCTACTGAGAGAAGAAGACTGAACGAGTTCAGCGCGCTCTTGGAGAGCTCTTCGTGTTGGCGGATGACGCTTCAGCGGTGGTGGTTTCCCGTGTCGAGTGGGTTGCACACATCAGGCTGCACTACCCCCTGTTTGTGTTGCAGA